GAAGAAAATTGATCGTATCGAACTATCGAGAGATAAAAGTTACAATTTAATCAGCGATAATCCATAAAGAAGCAGGGTATCTAACTTTCCAGACAAGGTACGCCCCTTGAAAGCACATAGTTCATTAAAAGCGACTTTTTCTGAAAGAGTTAATTATTCTATTAGAAAGTTTCGCAAAAATCCTTGATTAAAGGGAACTTTATACTCTTCCGAATGAAATCTCGAGATCTTCACGGATGGATTTAAATTTCGTTGAAACTTCTTCGGATAGGTAATTTCTACGTTATTACGCGTACTTAGCATCGAATGTCTTAAGTGTCACGATTGGGACGTTTAATTAAAATAATTGAATTTTAAAAACGAAGGGACTCGATTATAAATTCTTCGCAGACAACGGACATCTTTCGCCCAAGGGATTTCCTCCCTCGAAATTTCAAGTTCAACGGTAAGTGGAATGTCGAGCAATAAAGGAGGCTGTCTTTACCTCCTTTTTTCGATGTTCTACGATCGAGTCCGCTCAGTCGTGTCTTTATGAGGCATCGAATATCGACGATACAATTTCTTCGCCCTCTTCGCATAATCTCGATCTAAATGAAATTTGGTAGTTGGCGCCCGATATCCTGCGCGTCATTTGAAAATCGACAACCCCCGTTTAATTTGCCGATACTTATGCGAACGATTCTGGATAATATTACCGGTTCCATTTTCAGTCGTATCTATTTTCTTTATTTCTGAAATGTTGAGTATTCTCAGACGCATTTGAATCGACGCTGAATTTTATGATCGGAGCTAATTTTAGATCGTATCAAACTTAGTTTTATTAGTTCATATTTTTGCGGTATCGGAAATATGCATTTATTTTTCGAATTTTTGAATTCCAGTGCCACTAAATTTCTAATCTTCCGAATTTCTAAATCCCTAAATTTCCAATCTTCCGAATTCCAGCGCTTCCAAATTTCCAAATTTCCGAATTCCAGCGCTTTCAAATTTCCAAATTTCCGAATTCCAGCGTCCCTCAATTTCCAATCTTCCGAATTCCTATGCCCCCAAATTTCCAAATTTCCGAATTCTCACACCCCCAAATTTCCAAATTTCCGAATTCCAGCGCCTCCAAATTTCCAATCTTCCGAATTCCTATGCCCCCAAATTTCCAAATTTCCGAATTCCAGCGCCTCCAAATTTCCAAATTTCCGAATTCCAGCGCCTCCAAATTTCCAAATTTCCGAATTCCAGCGCCTCCAAATTTCCAAATTTCCGAATTCCAGCGCCTCCAAATTTCCAAATTTCCGAATTCCAGCGCCTCCAAATTTCCAAATTTCCGAATTCCAGCGCCTCCAAATTTCCAAATTTCCGAATTCCAGCGCCTCCAAATTTCCAAATTTCCGAATTCCAGCGCCTCCAAATTTCCAAATTTCCGAATTCCAGCGCCTCCAAATTTCCAAATTTCCGAATTCCAGCGCCTCCAAATTTCCAAATTTCCGAATTCCAGCGCCTCCAAATTTCCAAATTTCCGAATTCCAGCGCCTCCAAATTTCCAAATTTCCGAATTCCAGCGCCTCCAAATTTCCAAATTTCCGAATTCCAGCGCCTTCAAATTTCCAAATTTCCGAATTCCAGCGCCTCCCAATTTCCAATCTTCCGAATTCCTAAATCCCCAAATTCCCAATCTTCCGAATTCCCACACCCCCAAATTTCCAAATTTCCAAATTCCAGCGCCCCCCAATTTCCAATCTTCCGAATTCCTATGCCCCCAAATTTCCAAATTTCCAAATTCCAGCGCCCCCAAATTTCCAATCTTCCGAATTTCTAAATCCTCAAATTCTCAAATTTCCGAATTCCCACGCCCCCAAATTTCCAAATTTCCGAATTCCAGCGCCTCCCAATTTCCAATCTTCCGAATTCCTAAATCCCCAAATTTCCAAATTTCCGAATTCCTACGCCCCCAAATTTCCAATCTTCCGAATTCCAACGCCTAATTTTAGATCGTATCAAACTCGTACGTTTTATTAATTCATATTTTTGCAGTATTGAAAATATCAATCATGTATTTATTCATCAAAAGCAGTTTAGAAAATTGGTTTCTACGGAAGCGTCATAATCGAGAATCAATGCAGGGAGCTCAAAACTCTGACCGTTTCTAGAATGACACGGGTTCAAGAAGTTAATTCTGTTTCAAGCCACTGGACGTAATTAACTTTGTTAGCTAGTTATGTTGTATGCACGTGCAAGGAAGTCTCCAATATAGGATACCTTAACTCTTCGCGGTAGCATCAGCTTGACCTCAGTTTGTATGTACCTCGTTACGCCAAGAAAATGAACGTAACTTTTAGAAAGATAATATTTTCAACCAACATAGACGAGAACTTATCGCGATGTGAATCGATGCACCTTGTGCGTTCTATAACATTCATCTACTGCAATCGATGGCACCTTATGCGTTCTGCTCACTGTAATTGTCAATGTATCTTATGCTATCCAATGCAACTATACATAACATATCACGTATCTTATACCCTTGATACATTAGATGACACACCATGTGCGTCATATATTCAGTGGTTTATGATGCTTCATAATGGTCTGTATGCTTCATTATATTTGTTATATGAAACAGATGACATACCTCATACATGCAGTACTATCTATCCATTACAATTAATGACGCACCATGTGTGTCATACATTCAATGGTTCAACGCCTGTATGTTTCATTCTATCTGTTATATGAAATAGATGACATACCTCATTACATGCAATACTATCTATTGAATACAATTGATGACGCAGACAATGCGTCATTATAACTAAGACAATTCTTGACGCACCGGGTGCGTCATGTATGCATAGTACAAACAACGACGCACTCGGTGTGTCATACATTTATCATTGCATGATATGTACATCATATATGAATGCATCGATACACCGCATACGTTCTGTATATATTTTCTACATAATGAAAGACGCACCTTGTGCGTCATATATACATAGTACAAACAACGACGCACTAGGTGTGTCATGCATATATCATTGCATGACATATACATCACATACGAATGCATAGATACACTGCATACGTTTTGTGTATATTTTTTGTCCAATGGAAGACGCACCCGATGCGTCGTGTATACATAGTACAAACAACGACGCACCCGGTGTGTCATACATATATCATTACATGACATATGCATCACATATGAATGCATCGATAAACTGCATACGTTCTGTATATATTTTCTACCTAATGGAAGACGCACCTTGTACGTCATATATACATAGTACAAACAACGACGCACCAGGTGTGTCATACATATATCATTGCATGACATATACGTCATATATGAATGCACTGATACACTGCATACGTTCTGTATATATTTTCTGTCCAATGAAAGACGCAACCGGTGCGTCGTATAGACATAGTACAAACAACGACGCACTCAGTGCGTCATACATATATCATCACATGACATATACATCATATATGAATGCATCGATACACTGCAGTTCTGTCTACATATATTTTCTGTCCAATGGAAGACGCACCTGGTGCGTCATATACCATCCACACAATTCACGACGCTTACTCCACGTCATATATGCGATCAATCTCATCTTCATTTACCAGGATCAACAAAAGTGTTTAACCAGTAAAAAAGTGCTATAAAATTTCTCCCTCCCCCAATCAGTTCAGCGATTCAATTTACTTTTTGCGACAGGTCTTTTTGTAACGCTCCGTATAATTTTGTAGTTTCGTAATTTCATAGTGTCTAAAGAAATGAATAATAATGGACAAACGAGTCCATCCACGGTTCATTTTACGGTCCCCGGTCGTAACTAAGCACCTATGGACATGCGACGAACTTCATTATAGCACGGTTGTTTATTGTTCTCGCTTACGACCACGTTGGAACGATAAAACGTATTAATTCTGACGTCTCACGAAAACGTGAAGCTTTTTCCGTCGTTGGACGGCTACTGGGGAAAAAGAAAGGAAAACAGGGAGGACACCGTAATTGCAAGCATTGAAATTCCTGTTATTCCGATGCGCGCAATCGTTGAGCGAACGAAAATCTACTAAATAACGAGATCCGTTCCGTTGCACATTTCTTCCAATTAATGAGACTGCCAGCCGTCGTTTAATATTTCGCGTTTCCACGAGAAAATTAACGCTGCACCTTTGCGAGTGTTCCTAGAATTTTTAAGGGTTCAAAGGTATGTTGTGACAACCTTTTGTTATGTTTAAATTTTCTCTCGTGAAAAGCAATAAAAGGCTAAAGGTGAATTTCGCATTTTTAATTCTAAATAAAATTGCGTCTCTTTTCCACGTCTGATAGAACGTCCTTTTAATCTTTTGTAAATTTTAATTCAAAACGTGGAATAAAATTCTGTACGCGACTTCGCTGTCGAGAAAATTAAAACAGCTCGCAATTATTCGAACAGAAGATTGTACTTATTAGTAATATTAAAATGTATAAATCATTTGTTGCAGTATTGAAATTAAGAATTTAGAGATCCGACGATATTTCATACATTACATTAATATAAACACATGTTTCCATTTTATGGTACAAATGTTGATTTAATTAACTGCAATTAATGCTTCCAAAACGCTTCATTAATTACGCAAACGAGACTTGACAATATAAATGATGACAGAGCATGGACATCTCATTTGCCATAACAAGCGCTCATTGCGGGAGCAAAAATGTTTCCCGGAAAATACGGAACCTCGCCAACAATTTGTTCCACGTATGACATTGTCAATATTCCGCGCTTGTTCATTCTCCGTGTTAGCGATATACGGTGCACATTTATCGCATCTATCGAAGCTATTGATTCGGGTAATGTTTTATTAACGGATATTTTCGTTTCGATAGCTTTCTGGATCGATAATACTCTCCAGTCAAAACATACGGTGTTTGCTCACGTTTTACAAACTTTTTTCAAGAAAAACGTTTGCTCAACACAAACAACAGCGCATAAAAATTCGATACTTACCCCGGAATAAATAGCACACGCGAAACTACCCCTCCTCACGGATCGCCAGCAGCAACAGGACTGCATGATAGCCATGCTTCAAACGCGTGGTTCGTTCATTTCACTCGCGATTTTTAGAATTCATTCGAGACACCGATTACACGATCGTGCGTAACACACGAACACGCGAATAACGCGACAAGTACGGTCACTGCACCGAAACATCGTGATCGAACGTTAAAAAATTTCTATGCAACCGGTACGCTCGACGGCGCGACGCTGACTGCCGAGATTCCCGCCGCGCGGCGCGAAAACTTTCAGCCGCGCATGCGCACTCGACGCCGTCCAGTTCATATTTTTCCACCTGGATAACGTGCCTTAGATTAGTTGACACATATCGTATTACCGTGGAGGGAATATTGGCTTGTACCCGGCTGGAAAACAGGATCATACACCCGTGGGATATGCGTAAATATTCAGCTAATGTTGATGGAAAAACTTGCTCCGCTTTCATTAACGTCGTTATGACACTTCTGAGTTCGGCCAGGAGTTAATGATTTTTGTATCGCGGCTTTCATGAAAATTCAAACAGAACGTAGAGAGAATATTCTTTGCAGAGAAGATACTTCATACATGAGAAGGTACTTCGAATAATAGAACGGTATATTTTATGAAGAGTAAAGAATTTAGGATAAAAAATTTCATTTCCATGTTCATGGCTACTGACCGAATATCCCGCCAGTTTTTTCAGCGACCATGGTTCCTACTTAAAATACACGAAAGCAAACAAAAGCTTGGCTTCCTGGAGCGTTGTTTTACGACGCCACTTTCGACGATCGTAAAACTTTCACGAATGATTTCGCTCGACCGAAGATAAAATGGTGACCGTTCCCTGTTGCGCAGGGTGCGAAGTTTTTCGCGATTTTCGCACTCTGAGAAATGGGTTTTCGTGACAAGGTCGTCGTCACGCTCCAGTGAACGCAGGAAACCGATCGATTTCTGGACCTTCTTACTTCCCGCTGAAAGCTTAATCGTATCCTATCTCATGCATATTTAACGAGATACGTTTTCCGGTATTTTGTTCGACTTAAACGTTCACTGTCTGCAGTCAAGGATATTATTTTCATGTACTTTTACAATTGCTTTTGTATATTAAAACTGCTATTATATATATTATTTTTAAGTCTCAAATATGACACCAAAAAATTAAATCATTACTTTAAAAAAATCATCTGTGACCAGGTTTATATGTATGTTAGATATCTTTTAGATTAATGTAAGACGCTGTTGTCAAAAATATTTACAATTGCTTTTGTACATTTAAACTGCTATTATATACATATATTATTTTTATAAGTCTCAAATATGACACCAAAAAATTAAATCATTATTTAACTTCAAAAAGAATCATCCAGGTTAATATGTATATTAGATATTTTTTAGATTAATGTAAGTCGCTGTTGTCAAAAATATTTGCAATTGCTTTTGTACATTTAAACTGCTATTATATATATATTATTTTTATAAGTCTCAAATATAACACCAAAAAATTAAATCATTATCTAACTTTAAAAAAAATCATCCAGGTTAATATGTATATTAGATATTTTTTAGATTAATGTAAGTCGCTGTTGTCAAAAATATTTGCAATTGCTTTTGTACATTTAAACTGCTATTATATATATATTATTTTTATAAGTCTCAAATATGACACCAAAAAATTAAATCATTATCTAACTTTAAAAAAATCTCTGACCAGGTTAATATGTATGTTAAATGTCTTTTAGATTAATTCAAGTTATGTCTGTTGTTAAAAATATTTTGTCAACCTCAACGAAAATATCAATGAAAAGTGAAACGACACATTGTAACCCGACAATAAAGTATTCTAGATTCAATCAGTGATACAGTGGGAAATATATTTTCCCCGAACAAGTTAAAAGATTTGCGATCTGATTTGAATCCTCTTTAATTTACGATGCATCGAAATCTCTGTGTCAGCATGAAACTGTTCGCGAATTTCACCCGAAACAACAGCGACCATAAAGTGTGCTAGATAACGCTTTTGGAATTGCATAACTTTGAAATATGAACGTGACAAAATCCCCCGAATATCCGAAACTCTGTATTCGGACAAATCGCAAGAATTGCAAAGTAATCTTATTAGGCGTCGCTCTATAAGCAAACTTATTGTCGCGACGTTTTAATTCCACTTCGAAAGACTTCAAGAAGTTTCTTCGTAATTGCTTTCTGCCTCTTTTCGTTGCGATTTCATCCTCTTCGTTGAGAGTTATCGGTATTTGAACCGGACGAAATTTATTTCGATTCGATTTTATTTCGTTACGGGCTAACGATGTTTCGGAGTTATGAAACTTCGAGAGGATGCTAGCTTTATTTCTTTGTAAATGTGGCGAAATAAATCAGTGCCATGTGTGTAGAATTCTTACAGAAAAATTAGTGAAAATATATTTAACTTCTCGTGCCAGATGCGTCAGTCAAGACTAACTATTCAGAGCTATAACATTAAAACGAACAAAGCAAATTAAAATGTGAGTATTTTATATTCAGGGATCCTTGATAATGTAACTTATAGTTGGACATAAAAGTCAAAGTACGGGAAGGGGTTAAGCTGTGTATTAATGAGTTGTGACAAAATTATTTTACATTGAAAAGTACTTTTAATTTCCAACATTGACTTTGGTAATTTACGGACATGATTATTCTGTATTTCGTTTTGTAATTAAATAAACCTCATTTGTCTGCTACATCACGAGTACATCATTTGAATTCGAAGAATTAGTGATTGCAGCACGTAGTCAAAATTACAATTACAGTTTCATGAGCCTCTCTCGAAGCTTTTTGCGTCGATTGTCTTGATGAATGGACCAACACGAAATTGTTGAATACTCGGGGAGGGGTGATTAATAATTCATTCTTTTCGGTGAAATATGATGTTACACGGGGCATAAATTTTGATGCCCTAAGTGTGTTTCTGCATAAAATGTATATGAGGCGAAATGGAGGAGTATCGTACTAAATCTTATTTCTGGACGTGAACCTCTTTTTATTCTCGTCTCGAGAGCGACTGAGCTTCCGCCAGGAATGAAATTCTGATTAAAAAACAGTTGATTGGAAAGGGAATATTATTCAACTTAATACAACAAATGACCTCAACAGAGGAATATGATTTCTTTTCTTAAAGGTTGCAATGTTTACACAGTATTACTCGTTTGTTTTCGACAAGTAGCATAGTTGGAACAACTGATGGAACGCACGGTACGTGTCAGAAGCAAGAACGTACTAAATCGTGAAGGTAGAGCGAACGTTAGACGAATCGTGCTCCTTTTTCTTGTCGAGGAACTTATTGACACGGACAAATGGTTGAAAATCAATATCACTGTCGGACTTTAGTACAGCAATCATGGCGACACTGATAAAAAAATCCTTGCGTGTTTTCCGCTCGCAATTTCGTCCCTCCTCCGTTCTCGTTTATCATCCATCAAAGGATCAAGCAAAAAATGTGATAAATAGCAAAATCGACGAGCTTTATCAGAAATTGAATCGTCATCGAAAAATACCCTTTTCCAGCGGTGTTTCTAACGAGATTACTTAATCTCGCATCAAGCTGCTGACGTGAATTTTAGTCGAAAAATCATGAACGATATTTCGAGTACATTTTACTCTTTTAGAGTGATCTTCGATGTCTGCGTGGTAACGTCGAAACGGGAAACGTTAGACGTGAAACGGTGAAAAATAACCCGATTTATAAATATCGCATTCATCTCTCAAACTCGACGGCTCTTCGTTTATTTATCCCACATAAACGACGCGTCACGAGGTTATCCTTCTTTGTCGTCGGTTGAAGGCAGTCTCGAATGTATTCAAAGATTTCTTAACTTATTGGGACGTGAAGCACACCGTAAATGCACGAGGTCGAATTTGCTTTTAGAGAACTGTTTGATCGGAATTAAACAAAACTTGTCGATATTATTTGTACACAACGAAGGAACTTTACATCTCGCAATGGCCAACTTCCTGTTGTTCCTTCGCTTCGATCAATGATCACCTCCTCCCGTTACCCAGCAAATTGCAACATAACCGAGTTTTTATCGAACATGAAAAATGTTATACGATTCTCGTATCATCTTTGCGATGTCCTAAAATCGCTAACAATCGCTAATGATATTCCAGAACGGCCAGCGTTTACGACACGCTCGTAATTTTTCTTCCTTCCGTTCGCATCTTTCGCAATTACAGCGTACGAACAATTTTCCGAGAGCTTCTTCGGTGGTTGGTGTTAAATCAGGACAACCGCAGACAGCAGAACCTATTTCGCAGAATTTATTTCGCGTGCAAAAGGCGCGTGGCAGAATTCGTTTTGTACGAAGGAAGAGACACCTTACCGTAGACGATGGGGTTCACCGTAGACGTGCTATAAATTGTGGTGACGGAAGGAGGACGAGCGAAAAATGGCGAGAACAAAGGACGAGTACTTAACTCTGGAGCCCTTTCAAACGTTACCTCAAATTTATGTCGTTTCGATATTACGCTTTTGGAATGCTTATTTAAAATACGGATTCTAATATTTCGGGGGATTTTGACGATGTAATGGGCGGTGATATAATATGTGTCGCAAAGTAATTTGTGTGGTGAATACAATGTGGGGCGAATTCAATGTGCGGTGAACACAATGTGTGAAGAGAAACGTGTAGTAACATAACACGTGATTAATATAATACAATTCGACGCATTGTGAATACAATGAGTAGTAATACAACGCGTGGTAATCTAACGTGTGATTAGTTAATGTGTAGTAATCTAACGTATGGTAATCTAACGCGTAGTAATACCACACGTGACTAATACAACACGTGGTACATTCAACGCGTTGTGAATACAATGAGTAGTAATACAACGCGTGGTAATTTTACGCGTAGAAATCTAACGTGTGAGTATTCAACGCGTAGTAATCTAACGCGTGGTAATCTAACGCGTAGTAATAC